ATACACCTGCCTCATCTGAATTTTGCCTTAAATATATTTGACAAATCATTGAATGACGATGAATGAATGATTAATTAAAGCAAAACTCAAGGATTTTGTGACAGTGGAGTCACACAGAACTGATTTGAGTGGCTCTTAATGCCAACCAGAAGAGGGCAGCAGTGAAACACGTCTCTTCTTGTCCTTTGGTATCTGCTGTCACAGGCTCTGTTTACCTGAAAGGTCTCTTCTGAGACATTTAGTTCATATTGTTATAGATTATTATAGATATTCATATTAAAACACTACTCAGGAATAAAGTTGCTTTCATTTTTTTCTTCTTGTCAGTCCTCCCTTTTCAAGTTCAGAGCCCCAGAAGATTTATGCCAAAATACTGGACGGGGTGCTGAAGTATCCACCTTATCTGAGCGAGGCAGCCAAGTCCATAATCAGTAAACTCTGCAGGTGAGAACAATATAGTAATACAGACATATATATGTTAATATATGCTTTGTTATGGTTTCTTTAATAGTGGACACTCATCTCCAATTCACTTCTTGTACTTTTGTTTGCAGACCTCGGCCAGGTCAGAGGTTAGGAAACACCAAGAATGGAATCAAAGATGTCCGGCATCACAGGTAACCATGGCAACGTGTAATATAGCCTGAGGTTTTGATTAAAATAAAAGGCAAAGACCTCAATTAAAGTATGTGTACCTGTGTTTGCAGTATGAAGTTTGTATTTATTGTGTTTAGTTTGTAGTAGTGCTTGTATTTAGTTTCCTTTGCAGTTTAAGTTCCTCGTCCTTTCTCACAGTATTAAACTCTTCTCCGTTCAGGTTGTTCAGCAGCATGAACTGGCACAAACTGCGGGTGGGTCAACTCGACGCCCCCACAGTGCGACTCATACGCAAGGTAAGTCAAACTACCAGCTGTGTGTTTACTCCACTCAACGTTTCCTCTACACCTTTTTGTCAGTTTAAGAAAAACAGAAGCAAAGAATTCAAAAGATCTTCAGACTTTTAAAGCCTTTTAAAATGTGGTTTCAAATCTTCTATGTTTCATGGATTTGCAATCCTAAATGTTCAATTATCAATAATAAAAGTTAAAGAAGTGAAAAAATTCATTATTTATAGAGAATTTAACACCTCTTAACGTCAGGATTATGTGACTCTGCTTTACCGACACATTTCTCAGTCAAACATTTGTTTTCTCCTCCATCAGGGCCCCTGCTACATCAACTTTGATAAGTTCCCTCTGGACCAGACCACTGCTGAGGAGGAGTTCTCCGGCTGGGACCGTGACTTTTGATCCTGGCTGCTGATGTTTAACAGATCAAAAGGCCTCATGATGGTAGAAGGAGCTCTAGGAGCTCTACACTGAAACAGCCTAACCCACATCATGATAAATTGGTTCTTAGGAGCTGCAGGGAATCACAATTTCTGAAAATATTTATCATGGCTCCTTTGTTTCTCTACAGACGACCTTCTAGGTAGAGAGGTAAGTGGCCAAAAATATTTGGACGGGTGGTGAAAGGTGGTTGAGACAATCCGTTTCCAAATGAACGAGTGACAACAACGCAAATCACAAAAAATGACAAATAAGAAAACACAACAACAAATCACGAAACCCAACAACAGATAAGAAAATTACCTTAAGTGTATTTGCTATTGTGATTTACTGTTGTGTTTTCTTATTTGTTGCTGTGTTTTTCCATTTGTTGTTGTGAGTTGAACTTCATGGCCACCAGAATATTAACACTTATTCCTGATTAGAATACGACCTCTATCAAAGTGCTAATAAAGGCTTTTAGAGATGAAACATGTTTATCTGCTCATAGAAAAGCTCTTAAATGCTTTAGTGTTGTTAAAGTTGTGTTTTTATTGTAAAATGTCACTTTTTTTCTGAGTTTATCTGTTTTTTGGAAAGTCTGCTTCAGCTTAAAGTAATTTAAAAAGATCATAAAATGTCCTGATGAAAAGTTTCAACTTGACTTGTGTTTAGTAAATAAAAGTGCTCTTATTGGCTACTTTGTTTGTTCCTAACACTTACTCACAACCAATAGAGCGTATCTTTTGCTGTTGGGGGCTAAATTGTACACATACATCCAGCAGCGAGCAGTAAAAGCATTTGGAGATTAGGTTGAGATATAGTTGGAGAATACATGAAGGGGAAATATTGAGCTTATAAAGATGTTATCAATGAGGAAACCAGCCTGGGACAGAGTGAGGGATTTACAGGTTTAATCTGATATGTTTGACATTGGTTGCAGCTGATTGTGAGGCTCAGGAGGGTTTCAGCTGTCCGTCACAGCGGCACCCTTTAAGGCTGGAGGAAGGAGTGATCCTCTTCCTTCCTGTTGAATGGGAATCGACTGCTGAGAACAGTTTTCCACATCAGGACATGAAAGCAATCATATAGGGGGAAAGACGCGCTGCCAGATGTTTCCCTCCTGCAGAAAAATACACAACATTTATAAGTTGTCCACAATTTAGTGCAGTGACAGCAGAGGCCCAGAGGATGCAGGGTATAGTACAACATGATCTCTCCACAGCAGTAAACTGTGGTTTCCTGCTGCCCTGCCTGTAGGATAGAGTTTTCATTTTGGACAAACTTGTTTTACCTGCAGAGAATATGACGTCAGAGAGGGGGATTCAAGGATAAAGCTGCTGTTACGTGATAGTTTTCTTGTTGTCAACTTATCCAATGAAAACATCCAAAAAAGTATCAACTGCGCCTCAGACTTACAGATGTAAATACTGTATAAGCATAATAAAGCAAAGTAATGGGAGTGTTAAAGCATGACATCCCAGCTGACATTGTGTGAAAGGTGGGGTACACTTGGTTCCCAGGGAATCACAGGGCTGACAAATGGAGACAAACAATGACTGGATTGGTTTAAATTGATACCAATATTCCAATATTAACCCGATTAAGACAACTCTTGTAAATATCATTATTGAAATAATGTCTTATTGATTAAAGGGTCAATAGTCAGAACATCGGTGTCCATGTCAATGTAGTCACGGACAACTGAGTGTCTCCAAATAACCTTTATGTCTTTGGAATGTGGGAGGAAGTCAGGCTAAGCTGAGAAATGCACTAATGTGACAAGGAATTTATGTTAGAATGTAGTTTTAAATGTTTATAAAATACTTTAATGTCACTAAATATATGTTTAATACACAAGAGAGAAAAGAAGAGGTGAGAGAGAGACCACATTATGTTTTTCCAGTCCGCCTCCTGAATTATTCATACAACAGCAATAGTTGGTTAGTCACATATTGCATCATGGAGTATATATTGTCTGCTTTAACTTTAATTTGCATAAAAACATATGACCCTTTTCAATCAGCCAACGCTCGGCTAGATCCTGATTTAAAATGCCTGCTGCACTCAGTGTTACTTTGAGGACTGACTCCTGCAGCTGATCATTTGACTCACAGCAGTTTCCTCTGTTTCTCCTCTCGCCTGGTTTGTCTCTGTTTACTCTTCCTGGTCGAGTTTTTCTCGTCGGAGCAGCCTCCAGTGAATTGGACTCAGTGTTTACACCTGTGTTGATGAATTATTGCTCGCTGCTCTGCCTTGTCACTTGTGTCCCAGGCGTCTGAGTGGGCCTCTGTCTGTGTGTGGGCAGCTCTGATAAATGATCAGCTGTTATCTACAGACCTGCAGGGATTTATTTTGTCCAAATTGTTTGTCCTTCACATCCATTTCATAAGAAAGACTCTAATACCGACCAGACATGCTCTGTTCGTTGCTCTTTTATATAGAATGTTCCGCGTGTCAACTGGCCTTTTATGAAGACTGCAGAGAAGTTGATGTACAATATAAGCAGGCACCCCCCAACCAGCAGTCTGAATATGCATTCATGCAAATTGTGTAAGACAATATAATATTTCTTTTTCTTTCTTTTTACAGGAATGGTAGAGTAAGTCCATAGGAGCAGTTTTGACAGGTAACCAAAACCTCTTTAAAGGGACATGGCAAACAATTTGCATACTTTAAGTTAGCATCTATTATCCAATTCCATTTCTGTTACTCTGCCATCAAACTATCTGAAAGTTAAAAAAATTGAGGTTTTTAGCAGGAGACCAATATTCCCTTTCTTTTAGTTCTATTTTTGGTCTCCATCGATGCTAAAGAAATGTCTACTTGTCTTTTTTCCTGTCTTTTAGTTGCAGGATAGGTGTAGTGCACAGTGGGTTGATGAGGGTCACAGTAATTGAGTTGCTCCTCTGTTTGTTTTCATAATCATTGTTTACTGACTGACCTTTGTTATGTCATTGGAGCTTATCTGTGATGAAAACCATGCTCATTCACAACAAAGAGATGATGACTAGAAATTATCGGTGTGATTCACACTTGTGCTTCACGACTTTGTGCTCACCCCTCTATCCTTCCCCTCCCAGCTCTGATTGAAAGGAAACTTACTTGAAAATCAAGATTGCCTGCAACAGCTGAATGAGCATTGTGCACGTATATTTGCTGAATGAGCGCACATTGAATCTTTTGTGCTGATCTTTTGTGTGCGTAATGCTGATGTTCCACTAACAGCTTTTCCCAATAGACCAGCAGTTGTTTCAGATTTTACAACAGGCCAAAGCTTTGTGCACAATCCAATCAAAGTTACAGGAGTTTGTGTGTGAGTTATCTGTGTATGTAGAAGCTGCTTCCTCATTTGGCCTCAGTCATTGGTTTCTCTTCTGCATGAATGCACTTCAATCCCTCTGGAACAGCTGCACTTAACAGGTAACTACCATATCTCATATTCCTTACAGAGCCTGAGAAGGCACCCAAGACAAACTTTTGTTTACTGTGGAGGAAGAAAGTGAAATGAACAGGACTTTTAAATTACATCAGGCTATAAAGTGTGTTTGAAATGCTATCGTAGAGCAGCTCATGGGTAATGGCTTTGGGATCTAAAGTAAGTAAAAACTAGAATTACTACCCTGTGGTTGTATGCCTCTACCAACCACTGCAGTTCTATCTACATAGTTTTTTTCCTGGACTCATATGAGGTTACTGTGGCTTTTGAACTTTGACCACTGAAATCGTATCAGTTAATCTTTGAGTCAAAATGAACATTTGTGCCAAATTAAAAAAAATTCACAGGATGTGTTCTAGAGTTATGGTGTGCACAAGAATGGGATGTACGGACTGACCGACAACCTGAAAGCATAATGCCTAAGACCACTGGCTGTAGCTGTCATAAAGATTTTGGCTAAGGATTTCTCTTGGTTGATATGTTCCATAACGACAAACGTTAACATTGGACTGTCACAAACATCTCTGGCTGAAAGTCAAAACTAATCTCATGTCTGTACGGAGCTAGACGCAGACGTAAATACTTGAAACAGAAGATAACAGACTCCATCCAAAATATGCCAAACTGACAAAGTTCACTCATTCGCACACTGTATCCTGTTATTCTAAAAAACACTGGATGCGCGCAGTATTTGGCATCGGTGTGTTGTTACTAGGCAACCAGTCCAGCGGAGACTCAATGAGAAATCATGTAGAAGTACTGACATACATTTCTGTCTATTTTTTAATCTTGTTCATCCACTTCAGATGTACGAGGAGTCTATCTCAGCATATTAACACCTGCAGACAATTTTTGAGTTTAAAGGTCTTTGGGTTTTGCGAAAGAAACTGAAACCACCACTGTGAAGAAGGACTTTTTTCTTTTTTTATTTGAGGGAAGCACAACGGTGTGCACTTTATGCATATACGTTTCCAGGTTACACCAAATGAAATCAGTCTATGCTCTTGATCCACAGACTTCCCTTTATAATCTGAGCACATTTTCAGATGGGTGGCAGAAACCACTCTCCATTCTCAGAGTGAGCAGGTGCACTCAGGCATTAGAACATCACCTTTAAGACAAAGGACATCTGTCCATCTTGCAGAGGTTGGCTCATGTGGAGGGTAAAATGGATTTTTTTTAAAAAGAAAAGCAATGACAACTGTACTTAATGACCTCCACATCATCCTGACAGCTGTCTGCTGCTGAGGCAGTCTGAACTGTGCAGATTGTGGTTAAAGATGTTGAGCTGAATATTTCAAGAAAAGAATAAACACTTAAACTCATAATATAAATACTAAAATGAAAGTACAGTTGTGTAAATATAATGATAGTTAAAACAAGCAGTAATAACAACCATTACATATTCTCAGTTATGTGGAATGAAGCTGTTCCATTTACTTGGTATTTACAATACTTTTAGCCCTGTCTTTGGTTTCCACCTTCCTTTGTTGCCGTTAAGGAAAAATCTGGTTAAATGCTTCACTTGCTAGTGTTCTCTAGTTGCTCTGCAGGCATTTAAAAAACAATTTTTAGAATGTGTTTGCTGGAAAAATAGGTGATAAGGGAAATTTTAAGGGTCCAAAATACAACATTTTCCTTCACTTCTAACACTTTAAAATTCCAAATATTCCCTAAAACAATTCTCCAGGAATTCCACTTAAGAACATTTTTGATATCTGGGTTGAGTTCAATCTTTCCTTCAACCTGGTTCAATTATATAGCTAAAGCCTCAAATAGCAGAAGCTGCTAGTTCCTAAAAAACCTGTACGGCATGTGTCAAGAATTATTCCTAATGTATGATAAAAGCCATTTTATTGCATTTCTGCCATTAGTGTTTATCAAGGACTCTGTCTCTAACTATATCTCTTCACACTCCATAGGGAGTATGGAAGCAGTAAAGGTCAGGATGTCATTCATCCTCTCAGTGTGGGAGGATATCCTAATGGCAACAGCCTGGACACAACAGGAAAATGCTGTTAAATCCATCTAAAGGTCAAAGTTGAAATGATTCCTGCCTGGATTAAAAGATCCAGACAACATGGACTTTGTTGTCAGGCTGACCTTTTCACACGGTTTTGTGATTGGCTGATTTAAAAGGTCAAAATAAGGGACTGTCACTTTATTTGGACGTGTTTTAGTAAAGAGTACAGTTGGATATCTAACTTAAGATTATTGGGTTAAAGTGTGCTAGCAGTTTTGTGTAAAAGC